TTTGTGAAACAACAGCTGAAGACAAAACTTTACTGCTCCAAAATCCTTCAGGGTGATATAAGAGAAAGTCTATTAGTTAAATTCAAATACTTCTCCTAAATTTTCATTATGTTTGTTAAGGCAGTGCTGGAATTTAAAGAAGAGACTGCTTTAAATATTTGGATTTAATGTGCTTTTTGTTGATATAATTGGTTGAGGGAGGGGATTGACAACAGCTGAAGACAAAACTTTACTGCTCCAAAATCCTTCAGGGTGATATAAGAGAAAGTCTATTAGTTAAATTCAAATACTTCTCCTAAATTTTCATTATGTTTGTTAAGGCAGTGCTGGAATTTAAAGAAGAGACTGCTTTAAATATTTGGATTTAATGTGCTTTTTGTTGATATAATTGGTTGAGGGAGGGGATTGTCCTGCTCTGCTCTGTGCTGGGGCAGCCTCACCTGGAATATTGTGTGCAGTTGGAGCACCACAATGTAAGGAAGAGATTCAGTTATTGGAGAGTGTCCAAAGGAGGTAACAAGGGTAGTGAAGGGCCTTGAGGGGAAACCATATGAGGAGTGGCTGAGGCAGGTGGGCTGTTCAGCATGGAGGAGACTGAAGTGAGACCGAGTCACTGGATACAACTTACTCATGGAAGCACAGGAGCAGCACTGACCTCTGCTCTCTGGCAACCAGTGACAGGACCCAAGGGAATGGTCTGAAGTTGTGTCAGGGGAGGCTTAGGTTGGATCTTAGGCAAAGGTTCTTCCCCCAGAGGGTGTTTGGGCACTGGAACAGCTCCCCAGGGCAGTGGTCACAGCCCCAAGCCTGACAGAGCTCAAGGAGTGTTTGGACAATGCTCTCAGGCACAGGGTGTGATTCTCAGGGAGTTGGACTAGATGATCCTCAAGGGTCCCTTCAAACTCTGATTATTCTGTGATTCTGTGATGTAATTTTCCACCTTGAAACAGCTCCAGAGAAGTGATGATGAAAAACTAATACAGTAGCAGAGACATTGCTCTATTCTAAGAAAAACTTCCTGAAGCTGTTTGTATTTATACAACTTGCCCATGTGTGTCACAGATGACTGTGGCCTTCAGGAGGATCACTGCCACAGGAGATGGCAACTGAGTTAGTGATCTCTGCTTGCTGGGCTGGATGTACTGTGCAGGGCTGTGTGGGAGGTGTCCTGAGCGATGGGCAGAGGGATCTGGGTTGGCTGCAGATGTGTAGAACGGCTCTTCTTATGTGCTGCTGAATTTTAGCACAGACATCTGCTTCTGCTGTGAGTCACAGAAATATCGGTATCATCAATTTGTATTTTCCTCTTCTGGTTTGCTGAGTTGACCTGGACTTTTGGGTAGGTGCAAGAAGAGGATTGATGCATTGTGATGAAGTGATGCATTGAGGTGCATCACTTTCAAGGGTACTTCAAGTATAGGAGTCATCCTTGGCCTCCATTAAAGCAACCCTTATGCTTCATATGGGAATGGATGCAGTGTACCACTGTTTCCTCATCACTGTGGCTGTTATTTGGATTATTTGAGTTGTTGTGCTAAATTAAAGCAGATTTGCATAGAGTCCCTTCTTTAATTTCACTTCCTCACTATCCTGTTAAAATTATTGCTAGTTTGCAGTGGGAGAGAGAAACTGGTGAAAACTCACTAGATGGATATAAAACACTGGAAAAAAATCCTGTTTTATTTCATCTGTAAAGTCAGCAGAACTCTCTGAGCACATGTGTATGTAGAAGTGGTGGATAAAAAGCAAAGCAAAATGCTGCTCTGAGAGGAAACCACTGGGGCTGTTGCCACAACCAAAAACCTTTGGGCCAAAGTCCAGCAGATTTTCCTGAGGCTGCAAAGCCTCAGAGAGAAAAGAGAGAAAACAATAGAGCCACAAAAATGCAGGAAAACTTCTTGCAGAAGAGGAAATTGTACTCAGTGAGCAACACTGCAGAAATTTGAGGTAAATAAAGAGAGGAAGAGTGAGAAGTGGTGGACGGATGATTTTTTTTTTTAGTGGAGAGAGTCAGGACCTAACACAATTAAAATCAACACGTGCTATGATTCTTAACCGTAATCTCTTTGGCGCCTTGTTCTTTCCTCTGCATCACAGTAGGGATTTGAGCTAAGCTGGGAGTATATTAAATAATCTACCCATTGCTAAATAGCTGCTTTTGGGCTTTTTTTAGCTGCAAGATGCATTATATCAAAAGCTGCTGTGTGCCCATGCCTTGGGGGCAATCCTGCTTGAGTTGTTGGTGCAGATCATTCCTCTTTAGTGACTTTCCTGCAACTGAAACAACATGGGGGTTTTGCTGCTACAGGGTGTACTTACAGCTGGTTTAATGTGCTACTGATTATGATAGTAGAGGTTCCTAAATAAAAGGGTTAAAGCCAGATGAATCCTCACCCTTGTAGAAGGGGCTGGGGTGAAGTCTGAAAGGAGTAGAATTACTAGGTGGGTGTCAAGGGAAAACACTTCTAGAGTAAAGAGTTAGTATTAGAGAACAAAAGGGCCTGTTGGAAAGCAAAGGTGTTTCTTCAAGCATGAAGACATTCACTACTCTGTAGTTTTAATACAAAGTTGTGGTCAAAAACTGACAGTCTCTTCTTTTTCCTTCCTTTATTCCAGTTGAGTGGATTGCTGCAGTGTCCTTAGCTGCTGGAGCAGCTGCGGTTGGGTACCTAGCTTACAAAAAATTGCTCTCTAAAGACAAATGCTGCAAAGCCATGGTGAATCCTCATATCCAGAAGGATAACCCCAAGGTAGTCCATGCATTTGATATGGAAGATCTGGGAGACAAGGCTGTGTACTGTCGCTGCTGGAGGTCTAAGAAGGTAAGAGAAGATTTAATGGTCCAGTGAATCTCAGCAAAACTACTTACAAACTGCTTTATTTAGAGGGAACTTATTCTTTTCACCCAAACTATTCTGCAGTGAGTTGTAGCAGTATTTGAATGCCTAAAACTCAGCAGATTTGTGCTGTTGCTCAGAGTAAAGCTGCAGATCAGTGCTAATAGTGAACAGAATGTTTCTGTAGCTCCAAAGAAGCAGATCCCTGGGAAAGAGAGGCACTGTATAGAGCAGGGGCATGGATGGCAGGTACCATTTTATATGCTACCTGTGCCAATCCTGAGGCTTGTCCAAAACTATTGGGAGCTCAGGAACCACCGAAGACTTTAAACACCTTTTTTTGGAGCAAGTTGGAAACCTAGTCAGAAACTACCTTGCTTCTAGTACATGGTGCACGCCAGTGCAATCACAGTGGCATAATTTAGACCTCTGTTTTTGAGCAATTAAAAGTCTGGCCTAGACACTATCCAGCTGATTTGCATATCAAGTTGGGTTGCCTCAGTTGCCTATAATTAGTGGTAAAACAGCCTTGCAGTAACACTAAGATCAGATTTAAATCCGAGGTAGGGCACTTGATGTAGCCGAGATGTGTCTAATTGATCTCTAGAGGTAGTTCTGGGATCTGTAATGAGCTTGCATGGTAGTCCTGTCCGTTTACCACTGGTGCATGTTCAAAAACTTTGTTAGAGCATGGTAATGTGTGGAGGTTGAAATAGTAGAGACCTTCAAAGCCAGGTAAGTGCCTTGAAATTTATCTCTTTTTCCATCAGTGAACTGAATACTAGACTTCTCCAGTCTTTGCCACTGGTCTAGTCAGGCCACACGGGGCAGTCTTCCAGGTGCTGTAACTTGTGGTTTTTGCTGTGGTGAGATCTGACTTCATTCCCTTGTGGGAAGCTCAGGAGATCACACATTTGTAGCTGAATTTGGTTTAACAATAAAGCACTGCTAAGGATTAAACAGCATCATGACATGATTCTGAAATAGTCCTGTGGAGATGCCCTGGTCTTCTCTGTTCTGTCTGGAGGCTGAACTAATTTGAACCTTGGTGTTTGTGCTTTCTGCTTTCTACTCTTATTTTCTAAACACAAGTGGAAGATAGAGTCTGGTTCCAGTTGCTGCATTGCAGCTCCTGCCAATTGTTTGCTGTTGTTTGATACTATCTTATTGTGTGCAAAATAAAACCCTTTAGAAGTACATTTTGGCATAAATTGAAGGGGTAGTGTCAGTTTAGGAACATACTGTCCTACTGAGTTAGGGCTCTAATCACACAAGAGGAAGTAGATGGGGCTGTATGAGTCTGTTCTTAGAGCTCTGATCTGCAAGGTCTTGTAAAGGCATCAAGGAGGTCAGTGGAAAATTTTGAAGGCATTTGTTCTCTTTTACTGTTATTTAATGATGAGTATTTTAACATGTTCTGCATCAAAGCCTGTAGTTCCCAGTTTGGCTGCACCTTGCAGGGTGGGCAGCAGCATCTTTAAACGCTGTGTGTGCTGCTTCTCCTGTGCCATTATTGCCCCGCAGCAATAAAATACATCATTCTCACACATCTGTTATCCCTGGAAGTTGCGAGCTGTCATTATCTGGTTCTTCCAGCTCTCAAACTGTTAACATTTGTAATTCCGTGGTGTCAGAATGTGGAATGTGTGTGCTGCTTCCAGTGTAGGAAATCACAATTACTCCAAACTCTAAGTACCTGCTGTGTGGTTGTTAAATAAGTGGCATATAAAGGTTAGAAGAAATGTCCTCTTGTATCACCATGTGCATTTCTTATCAGATTTAGCCTCACCTGAGGCTGTGGATAGAACCAGTAGTGTTAGGAACCAGAGGCTACTTCTATTGCACTGATGATGTGCATGCACTTAGAGCTGGCTCTGTGTTCCTTCTCCAGAGGGAATAGCAAAACAGTTGGACTATACCAGGCTATTTGGAGTAACTCTTAAAAAAGGAGCAGGATTATTTGCAGTTAGGGTTTTTTTTCTCTGAAATTGTGCACTTCAAAGGCTTTTGTGCTGTCCAGAGGCTTTGTGGAGTGTATATGTTTAAAAAAACCCCACACCTGGTATCTTCAAATAAGTCTGTCTTGGAATATAATTATCTGTTCATAATGGGTGGGTAGTTCTTTAAATGGCCCTTTCCTATTCAGTGCTGTGCCCTGCAGGCACTCACTTCACAGTTGTCAGGTTTTGTGAAAAAATAATCCCAGTGTTCAAACTTTCATAGAATCATAGTATGTTAAGGGTTTGGCATGGACCTTAAAGAGCATCCAGTCCTGACCCTCTGCCCTGGGCAGGAACACCTCCCACCAGAACAGGTTGCTCAAGGCTTTAGCCAACCTAGCTTTGAACACTGCCAGAGTTGGAGCAGCCACAACCTCCCTGGGCAACCTGTGCCAGTGTCTCACCACCCTCACATTCCACACAGACACTCTCAGCCTGTCTCTGAAGATGCTTCATATTCGTCTCCTGCAGGGTCACCAGCACTGAGAATTTTGGCTGTAAATTTATTTGCCTCTCCAGCACTTACGTGTTCTTACATCTGTCCCCATTTAGATTGTTCATACTAAGAATACAGAATTTGACATTAAAGGCTACAGTAGCGACTTTAGTTTTTTTGTACCTTCTCCCTGCCCCAAAAAAACTGCCCAAACCCCCAAATCAAACAGCTATACAAGAAAGTGATTTCTTCACAAAAAAAAGGTTAATAAGGTAAAAACTCCGAAGACAAAGAAACTAGGATGCAAGTAAAAGCAAAAATTACAGCAAGTATACATAAAAGGGCAGGACTACTCCAGCTTTACCAGTGTAGAGGCAAGAGTTTGGTCTTTAAACTGTAATTAAAGTTAGAACACTTGTTTTCTCACTTGTCTTCATTTTTAACAGGAAGGGGAATTAATTTGCTTTCTGTCACAATGACCTGCAGCTTCTGTGTCCTCCAGAGAAGTCCTAGTCCACAGGCTGTGAGCTGAGGGAGACTGCTGCAGGCTGTCAGCAGAAAGAGTGATAGAGAATCCAAACCTTTTCAGTGTCAAGGGAAATCAGCTGAGCTGTCCAGGTCACCATACAATTCCTGCAGAGTTTGACTTTGACCACTACTGCCATCCTGCTTTTTCTTAATCAGGGATGAACAGGTTGTGTCAGGCCCAGGATCCATCTGGGCTTCAGGGTGACCAAGTGGCTGCTCTGGAAAAGTGGTGTTTGGTTTGGTTTTTCTCCTGAGAAGCCCAGTCCTAATGTCCCAGCCCCTGGGAGCCAGTGGTTCTGAGAGCACGAGGATGAATTCAGAGCAGAGTTGGTAGGTGTTAAAGACATCTCCATGCTACCTAAAGCCTATGAATTCCATCATTTGGATCACTTGCAAACTTGGCATGATGATGTTGCTGCAGCTGGACTTTGGGTTTGCCTCCTTAGGGCTTGTGAGATGTTTGTGTCTGATGGAAGCTGTGTTGATGCTGTGTGAAGCTGAGTGGTGCCCAACTTGGATTCTAACAACATTGCTTCTAAGCCAAGAAAATAGTAACTGAATGCAAAATATTGGGGTGTGTGTTCTGTGATCATCCCCAGAGCATCCTCTACAGAGGAGGCCTAGCCCTGAAAACACATCTTTGAGAAGAGATGGGATCTAACCTCACTCTTATTGCCTCATGGATCTTGTTGCCTCATGGAATGTCTTTTGGCTCTTTCCTGTGGAAAGAGCTGCCTAGGAAGAGAGTGGTTATCATGTGCTCTCCCTGCTCTTTGCATCCCCTTCCTGGCACATGTCGCTGAGGCAGAGAAACACTGCCCTGGGCAGTGACAGCTAAAGGAGTCCCCACAGTTCCTGCTCTGACCAGCCTGTTCTAAGGTGTTTTGGGGTCTTTCTATGGAACAAAAAATTCTCCAAATGACTTCCTCAGTGCTGCCCTTAAGAGCCATGTCAGTTGAAAATGCAGTTTTTTCATCAGCCAGGCAGAATCCTAGTGTGGAAGGCAGCAAAAGGACTGTTGTGTGGATGAGGGAAGCTGCCTTGAGGCAGCAGTAGGGTGAGGTGTGTCTTGTTTAAGAGATAAGCTAGGGAAACTGTCCTTTTTCTCATCATATGCTATAGAAAACCAGGAAAAGAATTGAGCTAAGGATCTCCTCCTGTTTCCCTTCCTCACCCCACTCTACTGCTGCTGTACTCAACTCTGGCTGATACCTGGGCAAACAAAGTGTGGGGCAAGGCTGAGAGCAAGGTACCAGCTAGGTTACGGTTGTCCTGAGGCAGGAACACCAAATAGAGTGGAGTTTAGTGGCTGCTCTTCTAGAACAGCCTCTTGTCCACTTCACACCAACAAGGATAACACTAGTGTTCAGCCAGAGCTCAGAGGGACCTGAGGCCCCAGCACAGAAGTTGTGGTCACAGGGGATTTAATGAGAATATATCTAATAAACTTTCAGATTAGGTTCTTAATTCTGACTCTGGATGTGCTTTAGATGTGTTTGTTCTTTCTCTTTTCAGTTCCCACTGTGTGATGGTTCTCACACAAAGCACAACGAGGAAACTGGCGACAACGTGGGGCCTCTGATCATCAAGAGGAAGGAGGCCTAGTGAACAGTAGAAGCTACAAAATGAATGTCTGACAAATCCTCTGCTCACTTGTAATTGGGGGGGGGGGAACCACAAATCCTTTGTCATGTCACTGATGACTTCCCAGTGTAGTATATATACATCAGGCTTCAGCATGTGTACTTCATGTGCTTGTTGTCTTTCAGTCACTACAATGCATAACTTACTCAATAGTCATGGTTCAAACCTTTTGTGCTGTCAAGTGTGTGTACCCTCTCACTGAATATGAAGCTAAAACGACACACAGAATGTACTTTGTCAGGAAATAGGGATTAAATTATTTTCAAGTATGTGTGTACTGCTAGAATATGTGTGCAAAGGGTAGAGCCTGAAATCCTGGAGAGGTTCTAAAGTCACAGAGCTGGATAGATTTCCATGTAAAAGGCAGGAGAGAAACCGTGGAGCCAAAATGCAGCTCAGTCTCTGATGGTGCTGCATTTCCTGCAGGTGTCACTTCTAGCTTGTTACACTGCTGTGCTGTGTGGCTTCCTCAAAGAACCAATCCCACATTGCTAGCTATGAAGAGACAACAGAAAAGGCAGATGGGAAGATGGAGCTAGAGAGCAACTTCACCTTTGATTTTACAGCAGTGTTGAAACCTGACCCTCCTTCCATATGGTATCAAGAACACACTGTCTAAACTACAGACCTGTGTTTAGACTAGGAATAGGAATATGTCTCTGCTAGAGCTTTAGTAATGGACAAGGGGATGACACACAGTGCTCCAAGAGGGATGGGCAGGGGGTGGCAGGATTGTTTTTGCTGCTAGAAAGCCTTAGTTTTACTTGCAGTCTCTGGCAGTGAAGCCAAGTTCCCCAGACCACAGGACGCTTGTGTGGGGAGGATAAAATAAAGCAGCTCAAATGAAAACTGACCCACCATCACCCTCTGCTTCATCACTGCTCTGGCTGGTTCCAGAGAGCTCTTCCCACTGCTGAGGGAGGAGATGCACCTTTCTTACTAAGTGGCCTTAGGCTCTACGTGTCTTAAATAACTCCTGGCCCCCTGGGCTCTTAATGTGGTTCAGCTGATCTTACCAAAAACACTGGCATGGACAGGGAAAGGCTTTGGGGACAGATGGAAACGAGAGAGGGAGGGATGAGACAGGAAGAGCTCTCACCCTCCTTCCCTATGGCACTTGTCTGGTGTGGTTGCATTAATGGCTGTCATGTTGGGTTCCTTTAATTAAATAGCTTTGATTTATCAACATGCAAATGACCACAAAGCCAAACCCAAAGAGACAGGCAGCAGAGGGCAGTTCTGTACCAACGCCAAAGAGAGAGGTGTCAGAGGGCAGTATGAGACAGGAAGAGCTCTCACCCTCCTTCCCTATGGCACTTGTCTGGTGTGGTTGCATTAATGGCTGTCATGTTGGGTTCCTTTAATTAAATAGCTTTGATTTATCAACATGCAAATGACCACAAAGCCAAACCCAAAGAGACAGGCAGCAGAGGGCAGTTCTGTACCAACGCCAAAGAGAGAGGTGTCAGAGGGCAGTTCTGTACTGTACCCAAAGGGAGAGGTGGCAGAGGGCAGTTCTGTACCAAACCCAAAGGGAGAGGGGGCAGAGGGCAGTTCTGTACCAAACCCAGTCTATCAGTGTAACTGTGGCCTGCCTGAGACTAAACTCTCAATGTCCTGGGACAGGAACTACCTCAGGGCTGGGGAAAGGCCTTGGCAAGAAGCTGACATTATAACCTGGACCATTTAGCATCTTTCAGTTGGGGCAAGAGAGGTTTTAGGGTTTTTAAGGGTGGTTGGCAGGACTGGTTAAGACGGAATATGTTTTTCTTGTGAGGCTTTCAGAGGTCTGGGCTGACTGTGCTGAACTCTGTCAGAAGGCAGAGAAAGCAGAGGAGGTGGCACAGGTGGAGGGTTTGCAGGTGGAGTATTGCAGCAGGGGCACTGCTGACCCAGAGAACTTGCCTTGAGAGAAGCTGCAGTCATACATAAGTTTGTCTTTTCTGCCTGTCTTGAGTGCAAAGGTAATTGGTGTTTTTTACTTGGCTGAGCAGTGATGCATATGGAAAAGTTGTTTTAACCTTAAATTGTTGAATCCATTGCTTCTACCCAAAGCAAAGTTCCTTCTGTATTATTGGACTATGACACTGGATATTGCTATATTTTTGTCAAATACACATTTGAGCTCATGTTAACCTGTAAGGTCTGTATTCTCTCCTGGGTGTGCTTCAAGGGAGAGTTGCACTGTGAGTAGTGCTGTAGCAGTGCTGTTGTACTCACAAACCTGTGCCTGGGGTGGGGTTTCCTTCTGAGACTCCTTTTCCTGTCAGCAGCAAAGCCTGGCTGCTTCTGGAGGAATAGAAGTTCAGTGCAAACTGCATTAATGGCCTGAGAGATGAAGTCCTGATGTTTCAGAGTAGTTATAACACTATTTCCTGGAGTTTGGGTGGCAGGGATGTGGGAAGCTTTTATTCCTGGGATGTTGGAGAGACAGTCTGTGTAGATTTCGATCCTGGTGCCTTTGTTTTGGAGAAGTGTCACAATTCTGCATGTTGATTCAGAGTGGTCAGATCTTATTTCGAGGTGTGTTCAATTTTCTGTGCTGTACCTAGAAGTCTCAGGTGTGTGTTATCTAATTGTCATCTTCAAACAGTTACTTGGATCTGAGTAAACAAACCTGCCAGCAGTCCCCATAAGCACCACGGAACACTTCAGTTTTCCCTTAGTGACCATGCTCTGATGGACTCAGTGCTTGCCTGTTCCAGTGTTTTTAAAACATCTATCCTTAGTCCTCTCCTCAAATCATCTCTACAGTATGAAGTGCATTGGTCACATCTCTATCAAGTTTTAACACTAAAGAAATTCTCCAAATGTGCAATTTTGACCTCACATTGAATCTCCAAATGGAAATGTGGTACAAATCCTTCTTATTAAAGCAGTGAAGCATTCCT